CCCCAAAACCCCAAAACCCCAAAACCCCAAAACCCCAGTAGACGTTAGATTACAAATACGATTGCTTGATTAAATTATATTTAAAAATGAAGCAAGGCTTTCTGCGTAAAAATCCTTCAAGAGAGGATCTATGCAAAACTCAGAGAGTTAAAACCAGCAAGCAAATCACTCTGAATGGTTCGAGTCTGTTGAATCAAAACTCCCAATCTTCCTTCAACGACACCTCGAAGAGTTTCGCTTCGCGCAATAGCAAGAGGGGACTCTACACCGAGAGGAGTGCTGCTGCTTAATAGTCGCAAACAATGAAGAGTCCCAAAGTGAGTTCGCAGTATTCTCAGTCATTTGTGCAAAGCTAGCATAATGATACTAAAAATTCATCAGCTATTAATGTCACTCCCAAGAGAACCACTCAGTATATACAACTAACTATCAACCCAAGATAGCAACCATCTATCAATGAAGCATCTAAGAACTACCAATATAATAACAATAGCAGTAATTGCGTTAATACACTTGGACTAAGAAGTAGTGCTTGTCCAGGCACTATTTCTGTAAATAGAAGGTATATTGAAACAACTAGTAGTTAGCAGTCCAATTCTAAGATTGAGAGTTCAGGCAAGAATACTGAACTCATCACTAGTCTCGAGATTACTCCCAGAGATTAATATAAATAGAAAACAGGCCGTCACAATAATCTTAAAGTTAAATAGGGAGATGATGATTATGACGAGTGTAATACTAGATCAGCAAAAGATGATATTCTTCGATTACATGACTTGGCGATTCCTGAGTCAAGCAGCTACAACACTCTAGAAAGCAAAAAGGACAAGCAGGTTTTCAGTTTTTCTAAGACCCCTAAATTCGGAAGTGTTGCCCCAGGAGTCAAATAGAATGCCTTCCAAAAGATATGCGATTAATACGAGAGTTTGAGAAATTAGTTTTCTAGTGTATCTTCCAATGAAATCAACGATGAGCTCCAAAATGAGTGCACTTCGAATGATGAAAGAGTGCCAATAGGAAGACAGGGCGGAGAGATACACAATCAGATGCATATGCTTTACAACATGTACATGGACCAGTAAAGCCAGTGCTTGAGTTATAGTAATAATCAAGACACTAAAAACTATAATCAAATCTTTTCAGTTCGTTCAAATGACTCACTGAACAGGGAAAGCATAACTTTCAGTTTAACTCAATCATAAGCAGCAAGTAATAAACTATCTATTAACACTTTTCACCCAAATGAATCACCAAGAGATACGATAACAGCAACGTATAACACAAGTGATTTTAATCATTGCAATAAAAGATCAAAGACGCCAACTGTACAATCATCAACTGCAAACTTCATCTACTCCTTTGACAAAGAAAAAAGTCACTTTGAAAAAGAAAAGCAGTCTGTAGTGAGGCCTACTGCAACTATCAAAAACCCTTTCACAACATTCGATTACAGTCAGCTAAATGTTAAATAAAGTCAATCAAAACTTAGAAATAATTTTAATTCACAAGGAGTCATGAACAGATGCGAGACCGAGGCAGGAAAGTTAAAAAAGCAAGCCTTTCAAGATTAGGAAATTAAAGTATTTTAGAACTTTTTCTCGCATGATAATGACACTAAATTAATCAATCTAGAGCAGGACGATAGTAGCTAAAGTGCTGTGAACTATGAAGTGCTATTTAAAGAAGAATATCAAAAGCATGAATCTACAAAGAGAGCTTTGAATAAGGCTATTTAGCTGGCTAATCTACTGATAGATGAAATTCAAGGTCAGAATTCCAAAATGTGTTTCAAATCCAAAAAATAGCAAGAGAATAAGGAACACCAAGAAAACTAAAGCTTGATATTCAATTCAAACACTAGTTTCACTTAATCAAGATTCCATACTCCTGAGCCAAACACGATCTATAATAAGTTCAATGCAAGACCAGACTTGAAGTCTACCGTCATATCTTAAAACATAAGAGATTATGATGAAATCGAATAAAATGAGACATTAAGGAGAAAAAGAGAGCTGAGCAGGAAGAAAAGTCTAAAGGCTTCAACTAAAGAGCTTCAGGATTTAACTAATTTGATAAGAAAAACTAAAAATTCTCCTCATATCATCAATGCTAAGTCAGGTGGTGGGTAAATATCAAGATTCACTTCCACACCTATTACTGGCCTGGGCTATAGTAAAACTAACAATAATATAAGCAGCCTGATGCAAAGCGGGGACAACTTTTCTATGATTAATAGCAGATATATGGATTAGACAACCATATCAACTAATCTTAAAGAGCTTATGAGTAAAATCTCCAATCTTAAAACTTGCGGGGCAGATAGATAAGATCTCAGCAATAAAGATGGAGGTCATTAAATGATGATGGAGGACGATAGCTTCGGAAGTTAAAGTCAAAAGAATAACATCAAATTAATGAGTATTAAAAAGATTTCAAGGAGCCTTTTCAAAGATATTCACGAGTATTAATGATCAACTGAGTTTAATAGGAAAGGACAAAGCTTAAGAATATTAAATTTAATATCAGTGTGAAATTAACTATGGAACTTTACTTTTATCAGATTTCTTGAATTGCGGGGTTTTGGGGTTTTGGGGTTTTGGGG